GCTGATTCGCAGAGATTTCATCACTTTGCCCCCCGAAATGAGTTGAAGAAATGCAGTGTATTTTGAGAATATGGTTAAAAGTTGACTTTTAATTTTTAATTAAATTTTTTGATTTTTTCAGAAAGTTGTTTAGGAAGTTGATAACAAATTATTTTTGAACTTTTTTACTTAATATTTGTTTATACTGTCACATTATAGTCAAATGACCAAAATATCCCCATCCATTTTAGAAAATAACCGCTTTCACTCATGTGGCTAGGGAGAAGCATGGTCCTGATTGGTCCGAATTTGGATAAAATCAGAACCAATCCGTTATCTATAATTCTTGAAAAATTGTAACCAATTCAATATGTTTAAATCATGGAACCAATTCAAACCAATCCGTTTAAGCACAGATTGGATCGACTTAGGACCACAGATTCACATAATTAAATAACAAAAAAAATATATAGAGCATTTAAAAGCAATAAACAAAAGCAACAAATAAAAGTAATAAAATTAGATACACATTACACAAAATAGAGTTTCTCTCTGTATTAAAACTAAACATAGTATCAAACAAAAATAATAAGAAAATTGATTTTAGACAAACAAAAGCAACAAAACTCCATAAACAGAAGTAACAAATAATTAGAAATGATTAAACAATATTATTTATCTCAAGACCATAAATATGATATACGACATATCAATCAGGGGCCAATAACAAATAAAAAGATAGAGATAACAATAAAGGCATGATTCAATTATAAAACATGCACCTTTTTTTTTTTAGTGCTCTAAATTTTTATCCATATCTAGAACAAGATATGACCGAGTTGAATATTGTGTTGAGTACGAGGGAGGTGCAACCACAGCAGAATTTGCAAAGATGGTATAAATATGAAATGATATTATGTGGGATGGTATGTAGTATAACTATAAATTATTTGTATACGGTTCAGATCGGTTCTAATATGGAATCGTGAGGTTCAATTCAGAACCAATCTGTGAACTACGGATTTTTAAATTTTCAATCCAGAATCGAACTACGGATTTAAAAAATCAATTCAAAACTACCGAATTGGACTGAATCGGATCGGATTACGGATTATACGAATTTCTTACTCAACCCTACATGTGGCTCATTTAAACATGGAATGTATAACTATAATTTTACAGGTAGATTTTAGCCACTTTCCCAAATAGTTTGATGGAAAAAAAGCCATTTTGGCTTTTTTGGCCTAAGTTGCAAAACACAATTTTTTTTCTTTTGTTCCCAAATGGCACCTTAGTTTTATATTTTAAATTATACTTATTATTTATTTTCTTAAATATAAATGTTTTATTTTCTTAAATATAAATGTTCTTTAATAAAAATATTATCGATATTCAATCAATTTGAATTTTTTATATGTGTATTCTATTTTATATTATGAAAAATTTAGTCAGAATCTCTTCATTAGACTTTTGTAGAGAAAGCACATAATTGAGTAAAGACAAAGTATAATATCTTTTTTTTTTGTCTTTCTTACACAATATTACCAGAGTAACATGTTACTGTGAAATAGAGTAACATTTTACTGTTAAACAAAGTAACATGTTACTGTAAGACTGAGTAACATGTTACTGTTATTGTTTACATCAATTTCAAGGGTAATAATTTTTTTTTAAAAATAATTTCATAGTCAAAGTGGATCTTATTTAATAGATCTTGATGAGAGAATTTAAAAATATTAATTTTATTAAAAATCGACCTTTACATCAAAAGTTATATTATTTTAAAGTTTAATATTTTGATAATACTGATATTTGTTGAATTTTTTGAGAATTTTTTTTGTGCTTGTCTTTAATGCATTAAAATTTTATTATGAGGGAGTTTTGACTAAATTTCTCTTTTATATATTTAATTAGAGTTAGGCTTGGTTTGGCATGTCTTTAAAAAAATAAAAATAAAGAAGTTACTTAAAAAGCTAAAAAGTTAACATTATTCACACAAAAAAAAATACAAAAAAAAAATTACGCATAAAAAAATATAACTCAACTTTTTACTAAAGTGATGAGCTGTTCGCGTAATTGGTCTTCTATACTGATCTGGAAATGATTGCCTCATTCACAGGCAACCATTTAGACTGTGTTGTTCGGCCCGTGGGGGTTACCACGGGTCACATTTTGATAATCTGAACCGTTCAATATGTAGAACTCGTTGAGTATTAAATGCTTGTATAAAATCACGTTGATCGGAAATCGCTAACTACATGATCAAATTAGTTTTGTATAAAAAAAACAGATGGTGTTATAGTTAACTGGTGAACAAAAACTAATCCGATCAATGTGATTTCGATATCCAATCAATGTAATTTTTTACAAGCATAGTACTCGACGACTTTTACATATTGAACGGTTCAGATTATCAAAATGGGACTCGTGGTGGGCCCCACGGACAGAACAGTACAGTCCAAATGGTTGCCTACGAAGAAGGCAATCATGCCTTTATTTCCTACATTCTGCCCAAAAAAAGGTACCGTACAGCATATTACACTTACTTCTCCTATACACTTATTTATATAATTTTTTTATTACATATTTTTTTTGTAAAAAGATAAAAAATTAATTCAAATATTTATTTTTTTCTTTAATTTTTTAGTTTAAAAAGATAAAAAAAAATATATTTATTTAGAACAGTCTAAACAATCTCTTAATTTGAGAATTGGTTATTTTCATAAATTTTGGCCTTTCTAGAATAAAGAAAAAATACCAAAAATATCAAAAATAAAGAGAAAAATGAAACCTAGTACACACAGGGGACTACCTGGGGCCACGAGCCCCTGCTCAAATAAAAAAAATTAGTAATATATATTACTTTCAACTAAAACATCAATAATATATAATTATCTAAGCAAAATGGCCCCTGCTCCTACTTTTGTCATTGTCAAGTGGGATTGATTTGATGGCCCAGAGATCTTCTTTCCATCATTAAAAAAAAAAAAAGGACTGAACATAAAGACAGAAACAGACAGAAACAGCACAGAAAAAAAATATACGAAGATTTTTGACTTGTTGCACGCAGCACAGAGTCTTATGCCTGGCTTGTTTTTGTGTTTCTCAAAAAAAATTTAAAATTTTTTTTTACAAATAAATTTTTAAAAGTAATCAAATTAAATAAATTTTTTTAAATTTTTTTTTCAAAACTTGTTTAGTTTATAAGTTTTCTAAACAAACCTCTCTCTCATACACATTAAATCAATCACTTTTTCCAAAACTCTCTCTCAAAATAATTTTTCAAAATATCTTTTGAAAAAAAACCAAAGCAAACAAATTTTCATACTTTTTATCTCAAAACATGTTTCTCAAATACAAACCAAACAAGCCCTTAATGATTGAAGGCATAGGGATCCTATGATAATCAAATCAACCCGGGAGCCTAGAAAGAAAAAAAAAAAGAAAAAAGAAAGAAAGAAGTATTGCTTCTGTAATTAGAGTCCAGATCCTCGACTGAACATTCCTGCGGCCCTTCCTGTCCCCCTTGCCAAAACGACGTCATTTTGGTTTTTTTTTTTTCCCCAACCTTTGAACCCAGCCTCTAATCTAGTACTTGTATGGATATTTGTTTCAGAAAAAGTTGTTCTATTTTTTTGTTTTCATCCATGCTTTGTTTTCACCACCAAAATCAACAAACATTTGCTCTCAATTTGTAAAGAAATGGGGAGAGTACAATGCAAAGCAACAACACTACATACTCATAAAATTTATCAAAAAATCTACTTTACACCAGCATTTCAGAGAAATTTTTCAATGATTGGGTAGAATTATGTATGTTGAGAAGAAGAAGAAGAAGAAGAAGAAGGAGAAGAGAGAGAGAGAAGGGGAGATTGCCGCCGTTGCATCGCTGCCGGAATCGCGTCCCTCCGTCTTCGCCGATTGTCTCTCCGCATCTCTCTCTCTCTCTCTGTCTTTGTCCAACTGCGCCTCTCATCTCTAGTAGGGCTAAACAGAGATGACAAAAGTGAAAAGAAAAGTGGGAAACTCAATTTTTGGGGAGAGGAAAAAAAAAAAACCAAAACGACGTCGTTTTGGCAGGGCCGCAGGGAGGGCCGCAGGGATGTGCAGCCAAGGATCTAGACTCCTGTAATTAATCTTCTCATTGTTATAAGCATGTGATTTATATTCTCTTTTTTTATTATTTTTAATTTGTAATATTTTTATTATCTTTTTTTTAATGTCACGTTGATACAATTACAAATTTTTTTAATTTTACATATTAAGAAAAAAAATCATGAATTAAGACATGATTTCAATTACTAGAATTTTTTTTTTTAAATTCATATTTGGACAAATTTAATTTTATTCAGATTAAGTTTTAAAAATTCAAAATTAAAATGAATTGAGACTCGTATGAAATTTATGTCTTCAATCTAAATTTTTTAATTTATATGAAATTTGTTTTAATTGTATTTGTTATTCTAGGCACAAAAAATTTCTATATCCTGTGACATATATATATATATATATATATATATTTTATATTAGCAATTGGTTCTAACTTCTAAGTAGAATGTTAACCATGTGTGTAATGAATTTTATTTTGATTTGTAGGTTATTATGAGAAAGTCATGTATAATTGATAGATTTTTTAAAAGAAAAAATACAAGTTCCTTAGAAGTTATTGTTGACAATACATCATTGTTAACTTCCAATGTTAATATCCCTGAAAATCCTCCCACAAAATTTCAAAAAATTGATGTTAAAGAAATTGATATTGGTTTATTGGAGCGAGATCCTGATTACGTATACAGATTTGGAATTATCATGTTAATCAACGTGATAAAATTCGACGAGCTTATATTAAGGTTGGTCCATACTAACCTATACTTTCAAAGTATTCGAAATCTGGATCAACAACTCATCTTCGTAACTTTCAACTATCATGGTTCAAACTATTTCCATCATGGTTGGAATATTCACCTACAGAAGATGCAACTTTTTGTTTACAATGCTTCTTTTTTATAAGCTATGCGGATATGGATATTATGGGCAATAAGCATTTACTATTGATGGATTTAAGAATTGGAAGAAGGTTAGGAATGAAGCAAAATGTGCTTTTTTAAATCATATAGGGAAAGGTCCTAACTCTTTTCACAATGTTATCAAGAGATCATGTGAAGACTTGATGAATCAATTTGAACATATACAAAAGGTATTCTAATTCTTTTTACAATGTTGTCAAGAGATTATGTGAAGAATTGATGAATCAATTTCAACATACACAAAAGGTGTTGGACAATTTCACTTTTGAACAAATTATAGATAATCGACTAAGATTGAAGGTCTCAATTGATACAATTCAATTGCTTGCATTTCAAGGTTGTGCTTTTAGAGGTCGTGATAAAAGGCCAAATTCAATTAATAGCGAAAATTTTCTTTAAATAGTGAATTTGTTGGGTATATAATGATAATGTTGCTAAAGTATTGGATAAAGCTTTGAAAAATGCCTCTTATACATCACCAAAGATTCAAAAAGAAATTTTACATATTTTTTCAACTAAAGTAAAGAATGCAATTCGTGAAGAATTTGGTGATGCAAAGTATTGCATAATTGTTGATGAAACTCGTGATGAGTTAAAGAATGAGCAAATGGCTATAGTTTTGAGATTCGTTGACAAAGATGGTTTTGTGATAGAGCCTTTTTTTGGGCTTTTTTATATGTCTCTAACACTGCTGCATCAACCCTAAAAGATGGAATATATTCTGTATTGTCTCATCACAATTTAGATATTCAGAATATTCGAAGGCAAAGATACGATGGTGCAAGTAACATGCGAGGTGAGTGGAAAGGATTACAAGCATTAGTTTTGAATGAATTTCCATATGCTTATTATATTCATTGTTTTGCACATCATTTGCACTTAGCTTTAGTGGCAGCATCGAAAGCTGTTATCCCAATTCATAAATTTTTTCCTAAATTGACTTTTGTTTTCAATATTGTCGGTGCTTCATGCAAGCGCAATGATGAATTGAAAGTTGCGCAAGCTGTTGAAATTGAACATATGATTGACATTGATAAGCTTGAGACTGGAAAGGGACTTAACCAGATTGGCACTTTACAACGAGCTAGACATACTTGTTGGAGTTCTCACTTCAAGTTAGTTTCAAGTTTAATAAAAATATTCAGTCCAACATGTGAAGTTCTTCTCAACATCATTAATGAAGGAACGACTTTTGTCCAACGAGGAGATACAGACTCAGCCTATGAAGCATTGACTTCATTTGAATTTGTCTTTATTTTGCATCTCATTAAAGAAATGTTGGAGATCACGGATTTACTTTGTCACGCTTTGCAATCATCTACCAAGGCATTTTTGCAAAAGTTTAGAGAAGACAAATGGGATGCTTTACTAGCCAATATGAAATCATTTTGTAAGGTATGTAACATAGATGTCCCGAATATGAATGTTCCTTATATTAGGAGAAGATGTCGAGCTCGTGATCATCAAGATGACTTTACAGTTGAGCATTATTATCGAGTAGATATTTTTTATGCTACAATAGATTCTCAACTTCAAGAATTAAATGGGTGATTCAGTGAACATACAGTAGAGTTGCATAATCTTAGCTTAGCTGTCACGATCCAAACCCGCCCCTATAGGTTCAGCGTCGTAACCGCCAGTAATCCTTAGATTACCGAAGGTCTCTGAACAGATTATTACATAGTAAGGGGCTGCGGAAGCAAATATAGAAATATACATAGTCCACAGAACTGTGTAGACGTACATGGGACTGAAATCTAAAGCTTAAATATACACATACATCTATGACGTCAAACGTTCATAGCCATGCATTACCTTACAGGTAGTAACATAAGGGACTTAGCTCAACATATAGATAAACAAAACATACAATACAACATTCTTGACATAGTTCACAAAACTAGACTTTTCAAATGGGAACCTTCCTGGGAAGCACGATGGCTAGCTGGCCCAAAACTCCCTAGGCAGCAGCTTAGGCCTGGTCACGCGCCAGCTCACCTGCATATATAATATAAATAGTGAGCGGAAGCCCAATAAATAATAACAGAGTAAAGAATTTAGTGAACGATATCCCATAGCAGATTTCAAATCAGATATAAATTCAGATTTGCATACTTAACTAGAAATCATAGCAGGTATATGTGGTACATCCATTTAGCTATAATATCATACCAATTTTGCATAGTCGGTACCAACGACCACATAGGTCCATATCTTGTGCACAAGTAGCCATGATATTATTACCCCTAGGTGAGGGCCACGTGAACATAAGCCACAACATTGTTACCCTTGAGCAAGGGCCACATGAAGATAAGCCACAGTATTGTTACCCCCGGGCATGGGCCACATGCATATTGGCAACGGTATTGTTACCCTGAGGTAAGGACTACATGAACTAAGAATGCCACAAATACATTTCAGAAAAATGGACATTTATTCATGGGTCATAAAATAGCATTTCAGAAAGCAGATCATATCATTTAGTCAGAAAATACTTATAATCAAACATAACTTTACAGAGTTATTACTCACTGATAGCTCCAAAAGCAAACAAATTAGATAGCTTACGGCGCTTGACCTACACAAACATAACAGATACACAGATTGAAACACACATTCGGAATATACTTAACTCATTACGTTTCATTCTTAGTTTGTTTCTAAGTCTTATCCTCATTATGAGGTCTTAATTTTGGCTTAAGAATGCCTATGATGCAATGAGGATACTAAAATGCACTTGAAAACACTAAGTCAAATATGCTAAAAACAGGAGTCTCGCTCAAGCGCAACTTCTTTCGCTTGAACGGATGTCCAAACATGTGAGTGGTCGCTTGAGCGCAACTTCCTTTGCTCGAGCGGTCTGTAAACTCTGCAAAAGAAATTGTTATGTGAATTCTCCACCTGACAATCGCTCGACGGTCGCTCGAGCATGTGATTGAGGTCTTCGCTCAAGCGCAACTCTTGTCGCTCGAGCGGTCTGCAAAACATGGAAACCTCTGGAAGCATGCAATTTACGCTCGAGCTAACTTTTTGTCGCTCAAGCGGAAGTGCAAAGTACAAAGTGGTCACTAGAGCGAGCAGAGAGGCAAAATTCTGGAAATTTCATATTGTTTTTCCCAGCTCAAAACTCAAATTCAATGTTGAAATTCATGTTCTCTTGGGCAAAAAACTCAAGGAAACTTGTGTAATCTTGGAAAACATTGGGAATTCAAAGTCATTTCGCAAAATCAAGGCCTAAAAGCATGCCAATTGAGCAAAATAAAACTTGGAATTCATGATATACACATGTATGTAATTTTTTCAAATTTAAACCTTTCAAAGAATGCTCAAACAAGGGAAATTGATGGAAAACATGATGAGGTCTCATGATTAAATCAAAAACATGACATGCATGGAAGAATTACTTGAAATTAACTTCAAATTCATGAGAATTATGCATGCATGAAATGTATGAGTCAAATTCCTTCATTTCTAGCTCAATTCTCAAGTTAAACACTTTGATCGCTTGAATTAATGCAATACACTCTAATTTCTTGTTGATTTTACATGTAATTGAGCTTAAGGTTACAAAATGTGAGTTGAATTCTTACCTAAAGTTGATGTTAAGTGTAAAACTAGCTCAAGTTCCAAATTGTCTTCGATGCTCCAATAAAATTCTCTTATTTCTCTAGCTTTTTGATCTCAACTTCCCTTCTCTCTTTCTCTCTCCCATGTTTTTGAGCTATAAGGAGTATGAAATAAGGGTGTAAAATGAACTAAGGAAGTCAAAGTAGCCTTATATAGGCTCAATTAAGGAAGCTTAATTAAACTTAACTTGGATTAATCACATAGACACTAATTATTCTAATTTAATTGTTCCGAATCAAATTTTAATTAAACCTACCATAAAATTCTAAAAATTTCACATAACACATATACCAAGTCAATTTCATGATCGGATGCCAATAAGGCCTTTAATTCACAAAATATAACAGAATCTCAAAATATATATTCCTACAATAAACAGATAGAAACACAAATAATGTATCACGTATGCAATTAATTCAGAATTTTTATCTTAATTACTCATTTGACATAATTAATCATGGTTTATCAGCTAATCATATATTGGGGTTGTTACAGTCTTCCCCCCTTAAAAAGTTTGGTCCTCCAAACTCGAATTACCTTCGTTTTGGAAGAATGTCGGGTCTAGAGGGAACAAATTTGGGTATTTGTTCATCATATCTTCCTCAGTCTCCCAAGTTGCAAAAGCCCCTCCATGGTTTTGCCAATCAACCTTCACCAATGGAATTTCTTTGTTCCTTAGTCTTTTAATTCGACGATTAACAATTTGTATTGGCTATTCCTCGTAAGTAAAATCATCTTTCAGAAGCACATGAGTTGATTCAATCACATGGAATGGATCTCTCAAATACTCTCAAAGCATAGATACGTGAAAAACATTATGCATATGCTCCATGACCGGCGGTAATGCTACCTGATACGTCACCGGATTGATTTTCTCAAGGATTTCATATGGCCCAGCACATGTGCTAGCTTGCCCTTAACACCAAACCGAGTTTCCTTTCATTGGAGTCACTTTTATGAACACATGATCCCCAACTTCGTATTCTCTATCTCACCTTCGGACATCTGCATAACTTTTTTGGTGTCTTTTTACCGTTTTCAATCTCTGTTGAATCAATTTCACATTTTTAGTTTTTTTTGCACGAGTTTCGGTCTTAACAATGGTCTTTTACCTACCTCAGCCCAACAAATCGGAGAACGGCACTTCCTACTATACAAAGCTTCATAAGGAGCCATGTTGATACTCGAATGGTAGCTGTTGTTATACATAAACTCGGCCAATGGTAAGTAGGTCTCCCAACTGCCTTGGAAATCTAGGGCACACATCCATAACAAGTCTTCTAGTGTTTAAATAGTCCGTTCAGATTAGCCATCTATCTGTGGGTAATAAGCACTGCTTAGTCTCAATTTAGTCCCCAAAGCTTGCTGTAGACTCTGCCAGAATCTTGAAGTGAACTTAGGATCTCTGTCAGATACAATAGATGCTGGCACACTATGTAATCTTACAATCTCATTTACATATAGGTTAGCAAACTTATCCGCATTATAAAAAGCTTTCACAAGTAGGAAATGAGTAGATTTAGTCAAACAATCAACTATGACCCAAATAGAATTCATACCTCGAGAAGAGCGATGCAATCCTACAATGAAGTCCATAATAATGTGCTCCTATTTCCATTCCAGTATTGTAAACGACTGTAGCAATCCAGCAGGTCATTGACATTCCACTTTTACTTGTTGGCAATGCAAACATCTAGCCACATAGTTAGCTATAGTTTTCTTCATTCCAGGCCACCAGAAGTTTTATTTCAAATCTTTGTACATTTTTGTGTTACCCGGATGCATAGCAAATTTTGAATTGTGAGCTTTAGCCATAACTCGCTCCAGACAGTCCGACACACATAATTGATTTTGAAATTTCAATACATTGTTCTCCAACACAAATCTTGGTTTTGGTTTTGAATCAATCTCATTAAAAATTTTCTTTAGAACCTTATCTTCACATTGTTTCTTTTTAATCTATTCAATGATTGTAGGTTGAGCGGAAATGGCGGCTATGATTCCACCATGTTCTCGTAGTACAATTTTAATTTCATTTTTCTCCAAGTCACATAACAATTCTCTCTGCCCGGTGAGCAGACATAACAAATTGCCAACAGATTTTCGGCTCAAAGCATCCGCAACTGTGTTTGCTTTTCCCAGATGGTACAAAATCTGCAAGTCATAATCTTTAATCAACTCTAACCATCTCTGTTGTCTCATGTTCAATTATTTTTGAGTGAATAAATATTTCAAACTTTTATGGTCTGTGTACACATTACAAGTCACACCATACAAATAGTGTCACCAAATTTTTAAGGCAAACACCACAGCTGCTAGTTCAAGGTCATGGGTCGGATAGTTCATTTCATAAGGGCGTAGTTATAGAGAAGAATAAGCAATCACTTTCCCATTTTGTATCAGTACACATCCCAAACCTTTATATGAAGCATCACTATAAATTTGAAACCCATCATACCATTATGCAAAGTCAAAATTGACGCAGTTACTAACCTGGTCTTTAGTTCTTGAAATGTAGATTCCCTCTGATCATTCCAATAAAACGACACATTTTTCTGTGTCAACTGTGTCAATAACATGGCAAGTTTGGATAAATCTTTCACAAATCTGCAATAATAGCCTGCAAGCTCCAGAAAACTTTGAACTTCTGACTCGTTGGTTGGTCTTAGCCAGTCCACAATAGCTTCAATTTTCTGTAGGCCAACTGAGATGCCATCCTTGTTGATTACATGCCCCAGAAATACTACACTGTCAAGTTAGAATTCACATTTGGACAATTTTGCATACAATTTCTTTTCCTTCAAAATCTATAAGGCAATTCTCAAGATATTCTCATCTCTTGCTCTTCCATGCTTTTGGAGTAAATCAGTATATCATCAATAAATACAACAATAAATTCATCAAGGAATTGTTTGAAAACCCAA